GACTATTGCAGTCCGTCATTGTCGCGTCTTGTCCTGTCAGTCGTCCGATGCATCAGTTCGTGCCGAGCCAAAGTGTGTGTGTGTGTGTGAGCGGAAAGTATCAACCCATGGCTTGCTCTGCTCAGCCACCCAAACTCCACCGTGTATGCCAGGACGTGTGGAAGAGGTGCTCCGGCGCTGAAGCCAGTGGCCCGAAAACTCAGAGACACGAGTCGCTGATCAGATATGAGCACTTTCGGGGCAGGACACGGTGACATGCAGGTCTGGGTGGGTGTGTCAAAAATTGTGTTGAATTAGGATCATGGACGCATCTGAAGGCGTTGGGCTTAAGCCTTAAGCCATGGGGTGGATGGGGTGGGCCTCCCAAGGAGGTCCCGAACTCTGTTAGAGCGGGACCGGCGGGACCCATGGAAGATTGCCAGGTGCGCGATGACTGGTCACGCCTATGTTCGTCTGTGCTGAGCACAGAGATCATTTCGTTCTTTTCCGCTGCTTTCACCACCATGGTCGTATTGAACGTTGGTGTGGGAACAGTCTACGTAGTGTGCCTGCTGTTGGTCAGCCGGCCCTTGGTTCGTGTTTTGAGCCTGCTGCTGGGGGTGCTTGGCTTCGTGCTGAGCACACCACAAGCTTTAGTTCGGATCAACAATCCGACGATCCTTCCCTCACAGGATATTTTGCTGCTCACGTCTTTCGTAGTTGGAGACGTGATGAACCACATAGCCCTGCTGATGATCATCTACTGGGACATTTGCAAAGAGTCTGTTATGTTGATTTTCGCACTGGATCCTGCGAAGCAAGCCAGGAGTCTGAGGTTGTCATTCGGCGCCGGCTCAGGATTCATTCTCAGCCAGGTCGTGATCCTCGGTACGTTTCTGCCGCTAATGGCAGTCCTGGAGGACATGTCCAGGGCCCTGGCTATCAAAATCTTTTACGTTGGGCAGGTGAGCTTCATCTTCGGATGCATGCCCCCTGTGGCCTTTGGACTGCTTGCGAGGAATTTGCACAAGCTTTGGGCCCAGTTGCCATCGGATCTTCCGAGGAGACTTGTTCACCGCCTGCGGTACACCCAGTTGGGCCTCTACCTGCTTTTGCTGCTGCGTGTATGCGCCGAGTGGGCTCTTGCCGGCATTTATTCCCGAGCTGAATCAGTTGGCAGGGTTCATCTATACTTACGTCATCATGCTTGCTGCGGGCTTCGTGGTTTTAATTTTGCTGGTCGGGGAACTGACGTTGACACTAAAGCAGCTACTAAGCAAAGCTCGCCAAACGCAGCCTCTTGCCGCAGAGCACGTGGTCAAGATAGTACAGGCTGGTGTGGAGAGTCTTCGATGCCGGGAGGATCGCCCACACGGCGCACGAACTCCTGTCTGGCATCGCGGGCTTGAGCACTCAATCATGCACGGCTTCCTGAAACTGGCTGCTGAAGCGGACGGGGATGGTGAGGTTGTAGACACATTCCTCAAGACGAGCGAGTTATGCCAGACGCATGTCAAGCCGCTCACCGCTGCTGCACGTTGCTCCGCCTGGGAGGCGCTGCATGCAGGAGCGGCACCGGGTTCGTTGTGTACCAAGACGGTTCTTCTCTGATATCTCTCGGGTTGATGAGCTCGGCTTAGGGTCCCCTGTTGAGTGCGAGTTTGCAGGATGGGATTCTTTGCCGTCGGACGCTCATCGACACCATCGCTCTCAGCACCTGAACACACCGACAGTCATGGTAAGCCACTGTTGGGCGAGCCCTTTTCAGGATGTCGTGAAGATCATGAGGCGCTACGACGAAAACACGAACAAGAGCAACTTCTTTTTCTTCGATGTCTTCAGTATGAACCAGCACGACCTGTCCGATCTTTCGGGACCTGATCGCAAGGACCAGCCTTGTCAAGATATGTATGACGTGATGCTAGAGGCTTTAACGAACTCGATTCGCACGCCTCGTCGCGTGTTGCTGGCCCTGACACCTCACACCGAACCGCAGCTGCTTTCAAGATCTTGGTGCTTGGGTTGCAGCTGTGGCATTTTCTGGGGCTTTTATGTAAGCTTGGTTGTGGTGTTTTGTTTTTTAATGTTTGTTATAAGTCGACCTGTGTCTTTGATGGTCAAACAGGGAGGAGGGTTCCCAAGCATTTCTAGTCGGCCACGATAGAGGCTGATGTGCGCATCGTGTCTTTGCATTCTTACCGCATGAGAAACGCGGCAGGTGCTTGTACGAAATATACATGGCACAGAAGCTGAAGGCGGAGGTATCTTGTGGTTTTGTCCCAGCTGCAGAGCAACAGGTCATTCAAAGCTTACAGCAGGGCGATGAGTTGATCGAGCATATGTTATCCAAAGTGGATGCTGAGAAATCGCAGGCCACTGTGGAGTCCGACCGCCTCATGATACTGGAGCTCATCCAGTCTCAGAAGGATGGCGTGAGCAAGTTCAACCAGTTCGTGCGGGAAAAGTTTGCGGCTTCACTTCGGCTAGTGGCATTGACAACAGTGCCAAGCGACGTCGTGGACGAAGTTGTTGTTTTGCCAGATCGAACGATTGTGACAAGAAGTCACTTCCTTGGTATCCTTGCCCGCAGCAAGTCGGAGTTAACGGATAGAGATTTTGATGATTTTTTTCCGATCTGAGCTCTTAGACCAGGGTGAGCAAGTGGATCTCCGAAGACCACCTCTGCTGGTAACGCCGCTCCGGTTCCACAGGGCGTTCTTATATCGCCTTTATGTGTATTTCTAACAAATTCGTGTCACCTTTGAAGAGGGAAGGCCCCTTGCATGGCACATGCCCAGTCTCGGGTTAGGCTCAGAGTATCTTGTCTTCCGAATCTAATGAGTCGCGATCATCCTCCGAACCCGCCGTGGCTTGTTGGCCATACGACTACACAGCTTGGCGCGGGCTCTTTCTGCCAAACAGGCCGAGCCTTGCGAGCCAGGATTTTCTCACGATGTCTTCTTCGCCATCGGCACGCTGAGTTTCGGAACCGAGTTCAGAAACTCTCCGACGCCTTTCGAAGCTAAGCTTCGGAAGCTAAGACACGTCCACTCGCCTCGCCATATGCCATCATTCCAAAAAGCTTCCGTTGGAAGTGCAGGAAGCGACGCAGACTGCATGCTCGTCATTGTGCCACGGATGCCCCGCATCTTCGAAGCTTCAGCTCGTCAAAGGAGGTGAAGTGGGCGACTTGATGAGGCAAAGCTTTGGGTCTTGACCGAAATGGAAGCAAGCGCCGGAGTGACCAGGACTAACAGGACGAAGTCGGACTAAGCCGTGTCAGTTTTCGCTGCATTGTCTGCATTGCTTGAGGGGAAAGCGGAAACTAGTCGCAGTGTCACGGCTATCATTGCAACAGCAAGTCTCAATGCCACGAACGGGTGCTGGTATGTGCTGCTAGTAGTACAACACCAATGCCGACATCACCACTTTTCCTATTGCCGTAGAGGCGACTGAAGCGCACATGACTGCCGAAGCACTTCTACAACACGTATCGTCACTATTCACATACCAACGACATGCGACGACCAAACTTTGTGCAAACGCCTCTGCTTCTTGCTGTTCTTCATATGTACGGCTGAACCGATGACCAGACTCCACTGATACCAGTAGTATTTCTAGGGCTGCAGCGGTCCAGCCACACTGGAGAGAGAGAGAGAGAGAGAGAGAGAGAGAGAGCGAGCGAGAGAGCGAGAGAGAAAGAGAGAGAGAGAGAGAGAGAGCGACAGAAAGACAGAGAGAGAAAAGCGAGAGGGGGGGAGGGGAGGGGAGTGGGAGGGGAGTGGAGGGGAGGGGGAGGGGAGGGGAGCTCTGCTTCACACCGCTGTGCAGCAAGCCTGCACGCTGGAAAAAGTTACATCTAAGAAAAAAGTTACAACTAAGGCTGCTACCTGTGTGCAGAGAGACGCAAGTTAGTTCCATCAAGCCGCCAATGGCATATGTATAGTAAGAGCGAGGCGGCAACCCTTTATGCATGGACTGATGAACGAAGTGAGGGCGGAGAAGGGAGCTTTTCTTTGCGGATTCTTTTGACAGGCCAGTGCAACAGGAGACTGCGAGCGACGACGTGGGGGCATATGACCAAAGAGGCCGATAGAGTCATCTCAATTGTCTTTATGCCGGTTGGGTGAGGGAGCCTTGTTAGCCAGATTCTCACAGATTCCTGCACCTCCTGCCAGATTGGTGCTGCTGTGGTTGTAGCAGAGGTGTCGACGTTGTCAGGTGGAGGGTGACAGAAAGATGAAGCCCTTGTCTGGTCATCAGGCTGCCGCAGGCACTCGGCTTCAGCCATGGGGTGGACTTTTCCAAAAAGGTCCCGAACTCTTCAAGAGCGGGACCTCCTGTTATGGAAGATTGCCAGGTGCGTGATGACTGGTCACGCGTGTGCTCTCCTGTGCTAAGCACGGGGCTGATTCAGTTTTTTTCGGTGTGCTTCTGTGCCATGGTTGCTTTGATTGTTGTCCTTTGGGCACTGTATGCAGCGTGCTTATCCCAAATAAGCCGGCCGATGTTCCGCGTCTGGAGCTTCACACTTGCCGCGCTTGGTTTCGTGCTGAGCACACCACAAGCTTTTGTCCGAATCAACGACCCGTCGCTCCTTCCCACAGAGGATGCTGTCCTTCTCACGTCTTTCGTACTTGGAGACGTGATGAACCACATAGCCCTGCTGATGATCATTTACTGGGACATTTGCAGAGAGTCTGTTATGTTGATTTTCGCATTGGATCCAGCAAAGCAAACGAAGAGCTTGAGGTTGTCGTTCGGTGTCGGCTCAGGGTTCATGCTCAGCCAGGTCGCGATCCTGGGTACGTTTCTGCCGCTTATGGCGTTCTTGGAGGAGACGTCCCGCAGCCTGACGATCAGCATCTTCTACGTCGGGCAGGTGAGCTTTGTCTTTGGATTCGTGCCCCCTGTGGCCTTTGGACTCCTCGCGAGGAGTTTGCAGAAGCTTTGGGCCGAGTTGCCACCGGATCTTCCAAGAAGACTTGCCCACCGCCTGCGTTATGCCCAGTGGGGCCTCTACCTGCTCTTGATCGTATGCCTTGTCTACGCACCCTGCGGGCTCTTTCCGGCCTTTGTACCCCAGCTGAACGATTTGGGTGGCTTCATCTATACATATATCATCATGCTGGCCGCCGGCGGCGTCGTGGTACTTTTGCTGGTTGGGGAATTGGCATTGACACTAAAGCAGTTGCGAAGCAAAGCTCGCCAAACACAGCCTCTTGCTGCAGAGCAGATGGTCAAGGTAGCACGGGCTGGTGTGGAGAGTCTTCGATGCCGGGAGGATCGCCCACATGGCGTATACACTCCTGTCTGGCAGCGAGGGCTTGAGCACTCGATCATTCAAGGCTTCCTGGAACTGGCTGCGGAGGGGCTCTCAGAATCCGCGATTAAGACAAATGAGGTCTGCCAGCGACATGTCAAGCCACTGACAGCTGCTGCACGCTGCTCCGCCTGGGAGGCGCTGGGTGCAGGACCTGGGCAATGTGCCAAGCCCGGTTTGCACAGCTTCCTAAACGATCTTTTTCGGAAGGCGAAGTGCTTCTGCATCTTCTTTCTCTTGCTCGCTTGGCCACGAAGTGTATTATCCTAGTCTTGTAGTGCAAGGTTTGTATGTGGCTTTGGGCACGTACACTAGCGGGCGTGACAGATGGATTCGATAGGCTGGAGTTTGCGCCGTGGCATGCGGCAAAGGGGGAGATTCGTGGCAGTGACCGCGAGTGCCACCAGGGCTGCGAAGCGAAATTGACTGTCGGACTATTGCTTTTGCCTTGCCGATGTCGCTCGGTGGCTTAGTTTGATACCGGGCCGATGGGAGAAGCCTTCGTTTTGCTAGTGCAGTCACACGGTGTCCTTCCTCGATGGCAGTAGCTCCTGCGAAGTACCAAAACAGCTTTGACTATCTTGAAAGCTTTGCTGTTAGTAGCTCACATGCTCTCACGTAAACTGCGAGCCTTGCCTGCCTCGTCCGAGAGTGAGATTCGAAACTGCGAACCTCATATCTTTTTGACCTGTCGCTTTGTTCTTTTCCTGTTCCGTGCGAGTTTGCAGGATGGGATTCCCTGACGGTGGACGCTCATCGACACCATCTGTCTCAGCACCTGAACACACCGACAGTCATGGTAAGCCACTGTTGGGCGAGCCCTTTTCAGGATGTCGTGCAAATCATGGGGCGCTACGACGAAAACACGAACAAGAGTAATTTCTTTTTCTTCGATGTCTTCAGTATGAACCAGCACGACCTGTCCGATCTTTCGGGACCTGATCGCAAGGACCAGCCTGGACAAGATATGTATGACGTGATGCTAGAGGCTTTAACGAACTCGATTCGCACGCCTCGTCGCGTGTTGCTGGCCCTGACACCTCACCACGAACCGCAGCTGCTTTCCAGATCTTGGTGCTTGGGTTGCAGCTGTGGCATTTTTTGGGGCTTCAACGTAATGTTCAGGGCGTTTTCCACATGCAGATTGGCCTGTGGACACAATTGTGCTGGTTTTGGGTTGAGTCGATTTCCCCTGGTCCCGCATCCTGCAGGTGCCTCTACGAAATATATATGGCCTGGCAGCTGAAGGCGGAGGTCTCTTGTGGCTTTGTGCCAGCCGGAGAGCAGATGGTCATCCAAAGCTTGCAGGAGGGTGATGTTTTGATCGAACACATGTTATCCAGAGTGGATGCCGAGAGATCGCAGGCCACTGTGGAATCCGATCGTCTCATGATCCTGGAGCTTATCAAGAAGGATGGTGTGAGCAAGTTCAACCAGTTTGTGAGGGAAAAGTTTGCGGCCTCACTTCGGGTGGTGGCGTTGACAACGATGCCAAGTACCGCTTCAGCAGACCTGTTGGACTGGGCGCCGGACTTGCCAGAAAGGAACCTTTCTTGCGACACAAGAAGTCACTTCGCTCGGCAGATTTCCTTGGAGTCGACGGTCGATGAGAACGTGCGGTACGTAAGAGAGATTTTCCGTGTTTAGGATCCGTGCGTGTATCAGTATCGGTCGCCAAGTTGCATCTCGGCAAATTTTTTTTACGATAATTTAGTGCTGCTGCAAGTGGCACGAAGACTTTTGTGCATGCGTAGTTTGCGTGGCAGCCACCGGAAAGGCCTGGCCTCTGCGCTCTGCGAAGTCGTTGTGGCCTCGAGAATAGCTGACATTCCGGGGAAATCTTTATAAGTATGTAGCGACATAGTCGTTTCCCCGTGTCTGTTTTGCTTTCCTCGGGCCAAGTTCCAAAAATTATCGGTTGGAGGGTTCAGTCTGTTAAGCAGTCGAACTCAGCACTACACAATAGTAACTAGTACGTGATCGGAGATATCATCGAGTCGATTCGAAAAGCAGCCATCCGTCTGTGCAGAAGAAGTCGAGAACGAGCATGCCCACAGCATCTGGAGATGGTGACTTGCGCCTTTGCAACTTCCCGTGTGTCTGAGCAGCTGGAGCAGAGCGGACTTGACAGACTGTACCCCTGCAGGCATCTGCATCTGCAGCCGAAGGCCATGGCCTATGGACGCAGATGAGCCTCACGCCTAAAGTCATGCAGGCCAGCACTGGGTAGCAATGAGCGAGCAACGCCTGCTGTAGCTCACGCGAACGACATAGCAACGCAGCGTGTTTAATTTTCCTGGTCGCTTCAGGGGAGCATCAGATCTCCGCCGCCGGAAGATCGAGAAGTCGAGCTCTTAGACACCCGTGTAGACCAATGCGCACAACGACCCAGGTGTGAGAGACCCGAACCCATAAGGATCATGGTGGTATGTGTAGTTGACCGTGAGAAGTTGTCGTACGCATCGAGGCGCCTCGCCCGGATTGGCCAAGCTGTGAGAGTCGAGCGATGGGGCTCAGTGCTTGTCTGTTTTGGGCTTGTGATTGTTTGGGCTTTTCACAGTGGAAACTGGACCGAACACGAGTTTCGCTACAGGCCATGGCCTCCCAGTCGAGGGCAACTGCCCGGGCAGAACCCGAAGAGAGCCCTTCAGCTTCGGCGAAATGGCTTATCTTGGTAATTCGAAAGGGTCCTGGCGTAGATCTTACTACCACGTATTATAGGGACCATGAGGATATCATCACTGCTTATGCTGGCCTCGTGGGCTTCCCTGCCGTCTTTGGAAGAGAAGCAGGGCAGGGCCCGACGCGGGCATCCAAAAGACAAACCAGCTTGTTGCGAGTAGGACACAGCAACCAATGTGCGGTTTGCGCTTGATTTCACGATGTTCACAGAGACCCCGGGTGGTGAGGCTTAAGTCTTATATAAGCAGCCACGGAAGACAAGCTCACAGACGCAGGTAGAGACGGGAATCAGACATCGAGCCCCCTGCTAGTACAAAAGCCAGTCTTAAATAGAAGACAGACAGACAGCATGCGTTACATGTTCCGTGGTCTCCATCACGTGGTGCACAACATGTCGAGATGCCTTCCTTGTTCCGCTTGCTTGGGCTTTAAGGACAAGGAGCCATCACGTTCGGATAGTTTACAGGATTATCTGCACGATCATTGCGAAAAGAACGCACCCGAAGAGTCTGAACTTCTCCTGAGCAATCCCGAGCCCCAACAAAGAAGGAGTACTCTCAACTTCCAGCGGCCTTTGGCGCAGATGCAGAGACTTGGCTGCCCAGGTCAGAGATGTCATTTGATTATGGGATACGGCTTCAACTTCGGTCCCTTTGGTACCCAAAGGCTAGGGCAGCCTGCGCGACCCATCGTCTGCGAGCTATGACATGCTCTGACCAACATACGCGAGCTGTTGCATCTTGCGCGCTGCAAGCTGTAGAGCGGGAGCAAGTAGCCCAGGCACCGTCCGGTAGCAGGAAGCAGAAAGCCTGTTCCGCTACGGTAGGAGAAGGTGCAGAGGGGCAGAGACCTCAGACCCCTCTTTTGGGAGGGCAAGAGTGAACGGCGACGCCTCAAGCAGACCCGCAGCCGAAGACAAGGAGAGCGCAACCGTCCAATTTGGGCTGTGACAGTAATTGGGAACAGTTGGAGGCCTCATCTCTACAAATGCTGCGAATGCAATAATTAACTCGGGTGAAGAATGCAACGGAGGGGCCAAAGACATCAAGCTTACAATGCAAAAAGGAGGAGAGAGAGAGAGAGAGAGAGCGAGGGTTTGGCGGGGGAATGTGAGCTGTTGCTCCCGCCCTAGTGCGAAGCTTCTTACACTCACTGCAACCGTGGCTCCTTTATCCTCGGAATTGTGTGGAGCCTTGCCTGCCCAGCGTGAGAGTGAGAGTCGAAACTTGACTTGAGAGCTCTGGCAGCCTCTGGCCTCCAGGCGCCGCGGCTTCAGATCTCTACCGGACGCATCCTGGGCGAATATGTCGGGGGCACGGAGCACTTCAGCTCCATCCCATTTGCCGCACCGCCCCTGGGAGAGCGCAGGCTCCGCGATGAATCAAGCGGTAGCAGAGGCGACCGAAAGATGAGACTAAACCCTAAATGACCCGAACTCTTCAGCATACTGTGATGCCGCTGTGTTGGAGTCCACCTGTGACACCCCATTTCTTTGACCTTTGGCTAGGATGTCACAGGTAGATCGTTCCGTGACGACACGCCCCGATCAAGGTATCGGGTTTTTATTCTTATGGAAATCTGGTGTCGACCTGACCCGAACTGTAGTGCGAGCGCCAACCGAGAGGCCTCGTCTGGCCGAGTCCGAGTTGCGAGAGTGTAAACCCTTAAACCACAAAATACCGCCAGAGATGTTCCCCCCTCCGAGGGCTTTGCCACACTTTGTCAGCTTCCAAGAGGCGGTTTTGACTCTGCAGGTGGCGAAAGCCCGCTCCGGTACAACCCTGGCAGGGGGAGTCTTGTCCTGTTTCGGGAAAAATGTGCGGGCATTTTTAATATTGAGAGGTTTGGAGTTGACATAGAAAGACTCGAGGCCTCTGAGCTTAGGGTCGAGCTTTGGTGTTGCCAAAGATGGCTGCTGGGTCTAGAGGTCGGCCCCTCTGGGTCGACGATGTGCGCAATCCCGTGTTCAACTTGAGCTGGGAGATTTCTTCAAGTCATGTGCAGTTTTCTGTATCCGAGCTCCGTCCGCAAGAACCTCTCCCGCCGTCTGGAATCTACACTCAACATCATGCGCAACTCAGTTCTGAAGGTTCCGCATCGTGTACCCTAGCACTAGCACGCGAAGAGTTAGGTGCTCATGCCGGCTAATGACCGTTCCCACAAGTGTTACACAACTGTGACATGTGAAGGGAGAACAGCTGCGCAGCACCACGCAGCAGGCTCAAAAGTCCAGGCCTGATGGAAGTCTTTGTCCTCGTTGGGTTCACGTACTTGTGATGAGACATGACCCAGCTGTGCAGCTGCTGCAGGCTTTGCAGCTTGTCACAGCTGCAGGTCATGCGGCACGAAGTGTCGGCAGGTATTGGCATGTGCTGCCTGTGTATGGCAAGTAGATGAACAACTAGCAGCACACACACACACACGCACACACGCACACACTGACGTACTTACTCCTTTCCTTCCTTCCTTCCTTGCTTACTTACTTAGGTGTTCTTTTGCGTGCGCGCGTGTCTGTGCGTGCGTGTGTGTGTGTGTGTGTACACCCTGATTCTAAGCTCAGGGTCTTGGAAGTTTGAGGATGCAATGCAGATTTTAAGCGCAGGGGGACTGCCTGATCTGTAGCAGTGGCAGTCCAACGAAGAGGCTGTTACAGATCACTGATATGAGCTGGGGACGCCTGGCTCACGTACCTGC